AGTTTAAGAATATTTGTACAGAGGTTCTGAAGATGCCATCAACCCTCCAGGATGTGAGGAGGCTGGGACAACAGCAGGGAGATAAGCCTGGTCCCCCCAGGATCACACTAGTGAGTGAGGAGGAGAAATGGAAGGTTATTCGGCAGGCAAAAAACTGAGCAAGGAGCGAGGCATCTTGGAGTGTATTCATTCACCCAGAATGCACGGTAATGCAGAGGGAACAGCACAGGAAGCTCCTGCAGGGCTTGAAGCAGAGAAGGGATGAGTCGAGGAGGAACAGGGAGAGGGTAGTGGAAGCAAGTGTGCCAACACAGAGACAAGGGGGCAACAGCGCACCCCCCACCCGGGAGGAGGCGAGCACGGTGTAAACAATGACATACAGTGTACTTAGCAAATGCTGCAGCTTCTGAGAATGGGGGGGGGGGGTGTTACTACTAAGAGCAGAGACATTACCGAGAACAAATTCTGGCTCGAATGTCATGTACACTAATTCTGACATGTTTCTTGATAAGAGAGAGGAGTTTGAAACACTACTGAAGGTACACCAACCAGATATTGTAGGAGTTGCAGAACTGGGGCCGGATACTCAAAACACCTCATAAGTTATGTCTTTTAGCATGATACAGTACCATATATTGTCGAATCTTTACAGTACCGTAAATTTAGCATACTCAAAATTTAATTACAGTTCCGTAAGCCTTTCGTAAGTTTTCATAACTCTAGTGTTTACCCTGTAAATTAAGTTCTCTTGTCGGAAGGTAGATGTCAGTGCAGGAGCTAGTTGGCCAATCAGCGCTCAGTTAACAAAATCATCAACCAATCACAAGAGAAGGAGAAATCAGCTGAGAGCGACGCACATATTATTATTTGGTAAACATGGAAGGACCACCAGCCAAGAAGAGACGGCCTAGCTTTGCCGAACCTAAATGACAAATCACTTCTCTTAAATTACTCATTTAGCCTAGACCCTGGTGTTTTCCTTTCAATGATGGGGACATTTGGTCTGAATTGTCTTTAAGTTCATACAAAAAACAACAATTTAAAACCTGAAAATATATCGGATTAGCCGTAAATTTTCTTAAATTAATACTCTACCTATGATAATGTTGAAAGTCTGGAACTAGGCCTAAGGTAGCTGCTAGACAAAGTGTCTCACTGACGGCCTGACACTCACCAAAAAACCATGTACACATTCTCTAATCTAACCTAACATACCATAACATAACCAAACCTCTCTAACCTATAACCTATTGGTATAATTTCTTATTCAAATAATCCTCATGTTCTAACTAAATTAAGTAGGCCCCAAGTTTAAGCATTTATTTGTCTAAGACTGAAAAAGAGTTATATAGGCCCCAATTAATCAAGTTAATTGCAATCCATATGTTACGCTTAATATCGTTTAATTTTGGCTAGCCTATGGAAATTTATAGCCTTTCATGTTATCATAAGCCATATACATAAGAAAATAGGCTAAGACTATTGGTTGAATATTAGAAAAACAGGTGAAGTCTTGGCAGGAATGTTCACTTGACCTCATATTCGCTTTCATTACTGAGGGATATTTACGGCTATACAACATTAATAAGTTCTATCTGCAAGTTCACTCAGTCATAAAACATATTTTTACCCTAAGTGTGAACAATACAAACCTTCTGTTTTGGTAAAAAATACTTTATAATTTGTAAGAAGACAAAAGATGCGTCTCTTCCAAACTGAGACAAATACAAACACTCAAGCCGCTTATTATGGCAACAAAACAGTTACAAAAAAGACAAAGTGAAATATTATATTTCAGTATGTTGGTATACAAAATATTTTCTTCATTATTCTATGATAAAACAAGTCAACATTACAACATATATTATTATTATATTTTTATACAATAGGGAATTAGTCACTACTACATCCGGGTTGAGAGTGTTACACAACCTCAAGAGTGCCAACGGAGTTCGATGTCAAATATTTGTTTTGAGTATACCATCTGTGTTTTGAGTATGCCAATCTGAGACTGTAAGTCCAGTTACGGGGTACACAACGACATACAGTCCCATAAATGTTTTTGAGTATCCTGCCCCTGTTAGTACAAGAACAGGAGAATCGACCCAGAGGAATGCGAGTTCAGTATAGCTGGATATGACTCATTTACGATCCTTTCTCAAAAAACTTGCAAGAGGGGTGTGGTTATCTATGCTAGGCAAGACCTTAGAGCCAGCCAGGTGAGAGTACAGGGAGTGGATGTTTTTGAAGAGTCCAAATGGTGTAAAATTAAATTACTTATCGTCGGGTGTATCTACAGATCCCCAAACTGTGGCCCACTAAATCAAAGGAACTTAAGAGCCTTAATAGACACTGCAGCAATGCTCAACCCTAGCCACCTCCATATCATGTGTACTTTAACTATGGCGACATAGACTGGAAAAACGAGTTCACCCCAAATGACTTGAATAACCCTGTTACTCTTTTTTTAGAAACTCTGAGAGATAATTTTCTGTTCCATCATGTTAGAGACCCGACACATTACAGAGGGGAGCAAACACCCAAGCCACTAGACCTCATCAAAACAAATGAGGAGGGTATGGTGGCCAAACTGGAACACCTTGCCCCAGTTGGCATCAGTCACCACATAGTGTTGTCCTTCAGATTTAACTGTTACCTAGTTCAAGATAAGGCCAGGCCAAGGTGCAAATATTACAAGGGAAATTACAATGGGATGAGGGAAGAGATGAGGGGAATCCACTGGCCCAACTCATTGAGGCACAAGAACACATACACTACGCTGAATATCATAACTAGTAAAGTGACCCATTTGATCTATAAATATATACCCAAGACCAAACCCAGTGCCTCTAGGAATATGAGGGGGTCCCTACACATAAACCATGCGGCGGTTGACAAAGTTAAGAAGAAAACCCAGAATTCAAGACGTAGGTTGGGTCAAGCGATGAGCAGGACAGGAGGATGTATGCAAGAGCCAGAAAACAAGCAAAGGTAGGTGTAGAAGGGCTGAAAAGGAGTTCCAGAGGCTGGTTGCAAGTGAGGTCAAGACAAATCCAAAGGCGTTTTACCGCTATGCAAAGTCGAAATTAAAAATGCGAGTAGGAGTATCAGACCTGAGGCTTGAAGATGGTAGTTACACAGATTCTGACTAGGATAAAGCCGAGGCATTGAACAGCTTCTTTTCCTTGGTGTTCACAGGAGAGGATGCGATTAACCTTCCTGAGTTTGGGGACAAACGGTTCGACACAGCACTGACCCACATTATGTTCACAGAAGAGGGTATTAGAAATAAACTGTCAAAGCTGAAGGTCCATAAGAGTACTGGCCCTGACATTGTGCATCCCAGAGTGCTAAGAGAGTTGTGCAACAAGCTTGCCGAGCCCCTAAAGATCCTGTTTTGGAAATGCCTGGATGAACAAAAGGTCCCCAGTGATTGGAAAGTGGTTTATGCGAGTCCTATACTCAAGAAGGGTGATCGCCACTCCACGAAAAACTATAGAGGGGTGAGCCTGACCAGCATAATATGTAAAATACTTGAGAGTACTATCAGAGATGCCGTGATGGAACATCTACTACGAAACAACCTTGTAGAGGATTGTCAACATGGTTTTATGCCGGGGCGTTCCTGCTTAACACAATTGCTCAAAGTATTGGATATTTGGACCCATATTCTGGAACGGGGTGGTAATATCGATAACCTATACCTAGATTTTGCCAAGGCTTTCAACAGTGTACCCCACGAAAGGCTGAAAATCAAACTGGAAGGGTACGGTATTCGGGGAAATATCCTAGCGTGGATAGAAGACTTTCTATATGACTGCAAGCAGTGTGTGGTGATTAATAGCACAAAATCATCATCTGTACCTGTCACAAAAGGGGTACCACAGGGCAGTGTAGGGCCCGCTGTCGTTTGTTTATTTCATAAATAACATGCCTGACGTTGTACACTCCTCCATACAAATGTTGCTGATGATGCCAAGTTATTTCAGGAAATCAAGTACCATGCAAACTGTGAAGAGCTGCAGAAGGATCTCTGTCAGCTCCAAAAAAGGTCGAAGAAATGGCTACTGAGATTCAAAGTCTAGAAGTGTAAGAGGATGCACCTGGGGCGTACCAACAGTAAGGAGGCATATCAAATGTCCCAACGGGATGAAGAAACTGCACTATTTGAGACTGAATGTGAGGACCTAGGTGTGTATGTTGACAATGAGCTGAAGTTCTCGGGCCATTGCGAGAAGAAGGTAAATCAGGCCTTTGGGTGGCCAATCACAGCAATGACCACAACTCAATTAAAAAAAAAAATTGTCTTATGACAAAGATTTTGTGGTTGTAGGCCTCTTGACCTGGGCTGTACCTCCAACTCAGTGGAGATTGAGTTTTAAAAAATACAATTGCATCTAGCATTAAAAATCCTTTATCGGTTTACACTTTCACCTCACTCAGACGATTCCGATGATCTCATGTAATCACTGTCAAATTGTTGCCGCTCATCAACGAAGGCCCGAGTTTTAATCAGGCTAACTACAGTCCTAGAATCAGCTTCCTGATCCATACTAAATAAATTAGGACAACTCATCCTTGACCTATGTTGTATCTTATGTCACCAATCAGATACATTTTTACATCTTAATTTATAAGAAATATTCAACATACCTTTGAGATTCCATCACCTTGAATCACACAATCAGATACAACCTTGCATCTTAACTTAGGAGAAATACTCAACATACTTTACATTTGAGACTATAGACCAGAGCTAAAACGTGAAGACATCTTGGTGCACAAGTGACGGCTTCTGCCCAGCCAACACCAGCAATGGTTGTGTGTGTGTTGGGTCATGCTCGACCTTATGCCTTCCTCCAACCTGTTGAGAGAAGAGATTGTGAATGTGTTGGGTCATGCTCGACCTTATGCCTTCCTCCAACCTGTTGAGAGAAGAGATTGTGAATTTTCTGGTACAATGATGGTGACTTTCAACTTTTAATGATCTCATTATGTATCTAAGTCAGATAGTTTAGGGTTTTTTATTTATTTTTTCTGTGTGTGAGTGTGAGAAAGATAAACAAAGAGAGAGAGATAGAGCGTCAAAATACCCAAAACATGATATAAGAACAACATACAGCATCAACCATGCACGACCCAAGAGACACAGCATGATATGTGATACCTGGAAGACACCCAATGCTATAGCCTTGGGTGCCTCAAACACCCCAAGGTTATATTCAAACAAGTAAAATAGCCTATGGTGTTAGTAATTCCCTGATGTACTGTACAGTAAGTCATCACACTAACTTGGTACTCAATAACAAAGGTTATTTACCATTGTTCAAGCTATAGTTACTTATGTTTAAAGTGTTTTCTTTGCTGAAGGCATCAAAGCAAATTACATTGGTAAGTGACTATACATGACAGAAGAAAAACAATACAATAACATTATGTTCATAAACCATTAAAATACATATAAAAAAAATCGCCCATCCTTTTCTCCAATTTCCTGTCCATTTGTTCACGTTGGACTTCACAATGCCCATTCCAGTTGATAGAGGAGGAGGGCAACGATAAGAAAAAAATTGGGAGTCCCTGAACCTGGCTGATGCCAGGTCCAAGGGCCAGGGTTCTCCCCCAAGAGGATCCTGACTCCTGGAACCACTGGACAAACAAGAATGCTGGTCCAAAAGCCTCTTGGAAGAAGCCTCCTGACCCCAGCTCAAAAGGATAAAAAAAAGGCTAACCAAGTTCAGGACCGGCTCTCCTTGTCCTAGGTTTGGCACTTCCTGGATGAGCAATTCCAAACCCTTACAAAAAAAGGGAACCTACGCAGCCTGACACTGACTTCTGAGACACAGCAAATGCTGCTCCTAGGGTCAGTTACCTCCTCCAGGAAGCTCCTTATCCCAGATACAGAAATGTCCGAATCCTCTAGAACGGAGATACAATGTTCCGAGAGTAAGGCATTTCCCAGAACAGACTTCTGACCCCCGTTCTAAAGGGGTGGGGGAAAGGGGGCAAATGCAGTTGATGATTCTTCAAATTACATTGGTAAGTGACTATTGTATAGATGACTGATGAAAAGAGACAATACATACAGACATTACACCAATACAATACAGTATTCTCATAATAAACCATTAAAATCTTGCACTTTTCTTCTACAATTTCATTTCCATTTGTTTATGCTGGACTTCACAATGTCCATTCCAGTTGATAAAGGAGGAGGGCAACGATAAGAAAAAAAAAATGGGGAGTCCCTGAACCTGGCTGATGCCAGATCCGAGGGCCAGGGTTCTCCTCCAAGAGGATCCTGACTCCTGGAACCATTGGACAAACAAGCATGCTGGTCCAAAAACCTCCTTCCCAGTGTCATGATCGTGATGACGGCTAACCTAAAAACCTTAAGGATTCATTTTACGCTCAAACGTCCACAAAACCTGAGTCCCCCAGTGGAAACGTCCCCTGTTTTCTCTGTTTCCTTGATGACGTCATCGAGAGGCCGTCTTTGTCTAAAGGGAACTTTGAATATAATCTGCGAATTTCGTAGCAAGACGCTGTATGTTGGGACCTGTTGCCATCCAACCCTTGGTAATCAATTTAATTTTTGCTTTTGATAGCTCAGTCAGAGCATTGTTAGTGAAGATAATAGTAGGAAATGAAACTGAGTTCATAGTCTCAGTTTCAACGTCAGAGTGTACAGTAAAGTAATTCATCGAAATAGAAGTAGGTGGAGTCCCTGACCTAGCTTGAGTGAGAGTGCTGCGGGCATTTCAACCGTTAGTAAGTGCTCGCCCCTTCACCCATACAGGTAGGTCATTCCACTCTGTGTTGTGATTCGCCCTTCTTTAAGTGATTTGACCCAATTAATAGTTGATTGTGCAAGTGTTACAGTAACGCAGTTGATATGCTCTGAGTGAAGTAATGTTTACGTCTTTAACGTCCCCTGAAACGTGGTGTCGCTGTCACAGTTAGTAAGTGCTCGCCCCTTCACCCATACAGGTCCCTAACACAGCCTAGGCCGTGTCTGTAGGGTGGATGTTGTATCCACTATGTCTGGAGAGATGTCCGAGGTCCAGTAGGATCAGTTATCTTCGTGAGACCCAACCGTCAGACACTTCAGACTACCTATGGCCCCCATAGCTGGCCAGTCTGACCCTAACGCTCGGCCCGCGAGGTGACCCCGGATCACCAAGCCCCACACAACTACCAGCCCCCATCATTGGTGGATGAGTGTCTAACTCAGTAGGGCTATGGTGTGGTTGTGTTATTCCACTGGGTTCTTCAGAGTTCATTGGAAAGTACCCCATGGTGGCAGGACCCCCATGGCGGTTGCTTGATTATCACTCCTGACTACTGAGTGTTGTAGTGGCAGTTGTCCTTGGTCTTTATGGTGCTAAGTTACGATAAGAGTTTAAGTGTTATTGAGTATGTCCACCCAGTAGTGGTGTGAGTGTTATTGAGTATGTCCACCCAGTAGTGGTGTGAGTATGTTGAGCCTGAGGGCATAGTACCAGGTTTCGTCTGTTGGTACATATATTCTTTCTCCTATCTCCATTTTAATGTTTAAATAAATATTGTATTTGTATATTGTGTCTATTATTTACCTACAGTATCTACCGTTATTTCTTCCCTATTACTTGATACTATCATTACATATACCCCCGAGCCTCCTCTCGTCACACTACCAATGATTATAAGTAAAATTGTTATAAGAGGCACAGGCCCTTATAACAGTACAGTAAAGTCTTATGTTCTAGTCAAGTTTCTCCCACATATACGTTACTTGAGTATAGTTTTAATTCATATCACCAGCCTTCCCTCCCTCACTGTAATACTCTTCAATTATGTCTCCAGCAGTCTTCCCTCTCAATTAACTTTTGTCCACTCTTCCCTCACTCTGACCATAACATGGCATACAGCTCACAGGTGGGGAAAGTTGATAATCTCCCAGTAATTTAAACAGATGCAAAGAAAAATATCTAAATCAATTCTATCAGGCATTTGTATATTTAAAGCAGCATATACTGTATAGTGAAAGGTTCTGCTCTTCCTGTAGCTACATAAAAAAATGATCTTGAGGTAGACAGGCAAGCCCAGGATAAAGGAGCTTACTGGTAAGGTTAACCTACCATAAGCATGTACTGTACCAGGTACTATCATTCACTGTAAATGACCCATGGAAATGCATAAATTGTAACCCCTCAAAAATATTATGCGTGTATAGTTTGACCCCAATTTTTTACATAAAAATTTGATCATTAAGACTTGAACTATACTTTAAGATACAGTAAACGGTAATTTCATGAAGTTACTTTGTGATTTTATCTCTTACATAATTATTGAAGTAATATCCTCACTTTATTAAAGTTATTAACACCACAGTGTTAACTCTCACTCTGTGTCATGGGAAAATAGGCGGACGTTCTGCAACGTCACCCAGGGCTTAAGGATTAAGACATTTTGGGTTAGTATTTTCATTATAGAAAAGTATCTTGGCTTTTATAATGGGAGTCTATGGGAAAATTTATCTGATTTACTAAAGGTTTTACAGGAACAGAACTCTCTTATAAACTGGGGAATGCCTGTAGAACCTTCCTAATATTCAAAGTACCAGAAAATAGTAATTACAAGTAATTACCATCTAGTCCTTTAGGTCCAGTTAACTTCAGATCTCATTCACTTGCACGTCCAGCCCACTTTAGTCTAGTTCACATCAGGTCCAGCTCAATTCAGGTCCACTTTAGACAGTGATGGAGAAAGTATCTGGAAGTATTACTTAAAATAAAGTACAGTACTACACTGTTGCTTTGTACAAATTATAATTTGTATAAAGTAGCTTTCTTCAAAACTACTTACACAAAACAAAAGTTTAATTAACTGAAGTGAAACATACAAGTAGAAAAAGTAAAAAAGAAACTAGTATTTGTAAGGTATCAAAATTGATAAACGATGATATGCAAAGCTTAAAGTTATTAACATAATTAAGAGAGAAAATATGAGACAGAGGTATTTATGTATTTACAATCAACTTTGGGTTAAATTTTTTTTTTCTGTAATAACTAATCTTCATATTTCTTGTGGCACACCTGGGCTGGAATATCAGTTCAGCACAGGTGTTAAAATGATTTTATGCTTTTACTTTATATACAGGTAACTCTCGTTTTACGTGCGTTTGATTTAAGCGTTTTTGGAACAACGCGATTGTTCAATTAATACCAAAAGCTAATTTACACGCACCTATTTTTTAAATAACGCGCTCAAGACAGTTTAAATTTGCATCGTGTATTCACCTGGTCGCCTGGCAGTGGAGTCGCGTGTGATGCCTGTTGAGGTACTTGTAAGTTATTACTATAAAGTCGCAGTCATATCAACATCAAAAATTCTATATTATTAATAATAATAATAATAATAATAATTATAATAATGTAATAATAAAGATTATTACATTTAATGGTGAAGATAATGAAGTATTCTGCACAACAACTTTGACCACGTCCAGCAAGCTTCCCGGGTATCACTTTCTCAGTTCACACCAGCACTACTACTTCTCTGTGCTCCAATTTGCATTGTGTTTATCACGTACCTTTTTAGTGTTAAATGCTGTTTCCCCCATTGACCATGTCTGTAAAACACACATCTGCCTCTGGGACGCCTAAAGCTAAAAAGGCATGAAAAACAATCACAATGGACGTGAAATTAAATGTGATCACCGGCCTTCAGAGAGGAGTGTGTGTGAGTTGGCCGCATGCTTGGTTTAAGTGAGAGCACTGTTCGTACCCTGTGTGGCATTTGATGGTTCCCTTAACCTGTACCATTTACATGTATTCTTATGGGAAATTTATGTTTAATTTAAGCGTTTTTTAATTTAGCGGTGGTTTTCAAGAACGTGACCCCCACGTAAAACGAGAGGTGGGTGTACTCTAAACACAAACACTTTGACACTTATATACACACACAAACACAAAAAGACCAAGTTAGGGATTTAATTACAGGTACTCCACCGATTTTCCGGCAACGGATGGTCCGGCACCTCTTTTAACCCGGACAAAATTCTCGCGACCTCCAGATTAGTTTACTGGGCTGCCCACAGATGGTATTGCGTGTTAACCGCGCTCGCTTTGTTTGTTTATTCTGCAGTTGCTGGTGGTAGCTTCTTCATTTTGTGTAATTCTCAGCTTATTTTGGACATATCTAACCCCAGCTATGGCTTCAAAGGCAAGTACAAGTGTCAGTGGTGGTGTAAAGCGTAAACACCAGTCCACATCGATACAAGATAAGGTGGAACTCTTGAGAAAACTCGACAGTAGTGTTTCGGTGTGACGGGTGTGTGATCAGTATGGTATTGGTTCGTCAACTGTGTATGATATAAAGAAGCAAAGAGAAAAGTAACGAGATTCTATGCAGAAAGTGGTTCCAAGAAGCAAGTGTGCATTAGAAAAACATTGAAAGACAGTAAGAGTACTGAACATGATAGAGTGATGAGTTTCTAGCAGCCATGGTGCTTTAAAAATACCGGGGGGAAGGGGTGTATACCAAGTGGCTCAAAGGTGTATTGCTTAATTATTATATATGACCTCTGTTAATCCGGCAAAACGGATGGTCCGGCAAGGCTCAGGAACCAAAGGTGCCGGAAAATTGGTGGTGTACCTGTATTACTAGTGTAGAGGATAAAGAACAAGATACAGTAAACTAAAGCAATAAATAAGACAACTCCAACACAGTGATAACGTGGCACCTGGGACTGACTAACATAACATGTCACGAGAACAATTGCAAATAAACAAACACAAAGACAATCGCATTATAAAGAACCTGAGGTGGAGGAGGGAAGGAGAGACAGTGAGAAATGTGGGAATTTATACTGTATAGGAGTTGCACATCACAAGTGTAGCTTTAAGTAATACTAGTAACCCCGAGAGAACAAAACCCTGAATGAAACAAGAATGACACCAGTCTAGTTAATAAGACTGGACTTAAATGCATAGGTGGATACAGAACAGGCAGACATCCTGGGGTTGAGAAGATGTGTTTACCAGGTTATCACTCACCATCCAGAAAGGACAGGTGGTGGTGTACTACTGTGTCATGGAGCACCTGACAATAACCAGTAATGATGAGCGAATGAAACTAAATCATCCAAATTTACTTTTGGTGTGAACTAATAACAGAGAACAAAAAGCAAGGTGACAGTAGGTGTGTGTTATAAGGCTGACTCAACCTCACAGGGAGAAGTGGACAGACTCCAATGTCATCCAGAACAGACAGTAGACTGGGTGACTCTTACCATACAAGCTGAGGAGCATACCTTGACCTTCAAGACACAACACATGAAGGAACCTACTAGAGAAAAAACATTCTGGATATACTCTTGACAACAGAGGTAGCAATGGTGGACAAAGTCCACATCAGGGAAAAACTAACTCTGGCCCACAATCACCTGACCCTTGCTTTATGTCAACTCACTATATACACAAACTCTTGAGAAAATTCTGAAGGACACAATCTTCCAACACCTGACCGAGTAGTCTGATCAATGTATCACACGGTTCCATAGAGAATATCCTGTTTGACACACTTATTCAATTTCCTTGAAATGGTAACACATTACATGGACCAAGGTCTACCAGTGGATGAGTAGTACAGTCACTGTCAAAATTTTGATCCCGTGGTGGAACGGAGTCTCTGAACTGACTTATCCTGACTGTTTTCTGATGCAAGTGTGCTGTTTTATCTTATTTGGGGTCAAGCAAACCTTTGATCTCGGGCATAATACGTGGACTTAAGGGCACTTGACAAAGACCCACATTCACAGGTAGTCTCTAAAATCCAGCCACATAGAATCATAGGCAAAATTTTAAAGTGCATTAACAACAGGTTCAATGACAAGACACAAAGGGTGGTCATAAATGGAGTACATTCAGAATGGAAAACATTTCTCAGTAGTATAGCACAAAGTTTTATTCTTGAATCCAACCTGTTGAGATCTACATAAATGACATAGATGAAATTACATCAAGACATATTGTTAAGTTTGTGGATGACATGAAGATATTTGGGAAGGTTGCAAGACAAGACGATGTAGCAACCATGCAAAAAGATCTGCACAAGCTGTTCAAATGGTCTTGAGACTGGCATAAGACCTTTAACAACACAAAATGCAAGACTCTGCATGTAGGATGCAACAACCTAAATCACCACCATTCTGTTAGTAACACTTTCCTGGATACTGTCGATAAGGAGAAAGATATTGGTGTTGTCATAGATCAGTCACTGAAGGCGGCAGAACAAGTGGAGGCAGTAGTGAAAAAAAAAAAAAAAAATTAAGATTTGGGAATTATAAAGCATAGCCTTCAAATACAAAGATATGAAAATGCTCCTTTAACTGTACAGATCTCAAGTATGTCCCAGTCTGGATTACTGGATACATGGCATGTAAACACTACCTTCAAAAAGACCAAACATCATTAGAAAAGGTGCAACATGGTGACTAAAATAATCCCTGAACTCTGTCATCTTGGTTATCCAAATAAACTGAGGGCCGGAGGACTAACAACCCTTCAGACAAGACACAAAAAGGCACAACTCATACACATTCAAAATTTAAAAGGGATGGAAAACATGAATCCCGGCCATTCTTTTTAGATGTCATGCACCAATACAATGGAGCATGACTCTAAGCTTACAAACTTATCATGCAGAATGACGTAAGGAAATGTTTCTTCACACAGAGACTAGTAAACCAATCAGCAGGAACAGTACTGTGCTTCAAAATAGTCCTAGACAAGACTGTCAACAACAAAGGAGGTATCCTACAGAGACCTTTCCTCATCATTCTCGGTCCAGTACTGTTTTTGTTGTACAGTACACATAAACGACATAGTCCACGCCAGCTCACTCATAAAATACAACTTATTTGCAGACGATAGTAATCTCTATGCCAGCAACTCAGACCTCCATTCCTTGATGAGAACTATGAACACTGAATTAACTAAAGTCAGGACCTGGGTAATACATAATAAACTGACCTTAAACCTTGAGAAAACCCACTACACGATCTTTCACAGAAGAAAAAACTTACCCCCAGACTTGAACCCCCTGTACCTTGGTAATATAGTCCTCAAAAGCGAACAAAATACTAAATTCTTCGAAGTTATTGTTGATGAGAAAATTAACTGGAGAAACCACATACAAGACATTCACAGAAAAGTCATCAAACAGTGCAGTTTCATGTATCACACACAACAGTCACTCACTCTCACAGCAATGAAAGAAATCTATCATGATCTTGTTTACCAACACCTGATACACTGTCACACACTATGAGGGGCCTTTGGCTCTTCAAAAGCACACTCTCTGGTTACTGCACAAAAGAGAGTTGTATGGACAATGACCTACTTGAAAAAAACAGATCACACTAACGAAAAATTTGCTAAATTGAAAATGTTAAAATTCGAAGATATTAACAGCTACTGCTGTGCCCTCTTTGTTTACAATCTATCAATCACTTGCTTGACAATAATTATTTCCAGTTCCGGAATAATCAGAGATACAACTAAAGGCACCCAGAGCTACTAAGACCACCCCCTATGTGCTCCTCTCAGTCCCAGACCTCCATAAAATATCACGGTGTGAAAGAACTTACCCCCACCCATCCGAGCAAAGACTACACTCCCTTCCTTTAAATCATCTCTTAAAAAATATATACAGTTTTGTCTAAGTATTAATATTTCTTGCAATACCTACTACAGCTCCTCCCCGACTTACGACCTGCCTCAGTCGTTCCAAAATGTTGTCAAATTACGTTTTTTCGAGTCCCAATGTCAGTACAGACAAAATTTTTGCTTGTAATTCACTTTAAAATAGCTGGCAAGCTTAAAGTTGAGAGTTTTGTGATGTTGAGAAGAAAAAGAGACACCCATTTTAGATTTTCTATGTATTATTTAAGCATTTTAGACTTACGACCTGGATTTGGGTCCATAACCCCGTCTAAGTCGGGGAGGAGCTGTATATTTACAATACCAGCTTTTATTGTACCATCAAAACCGTTTTATCGGAAATTATCATTGCAATAAACATACAGCCACTGCTGACTTACGATGGGGTTAGGGACCCAAATCCAGGTTGTAAGTCGAATTGGTCAGAAGTCAAAAATGTGATGATACATAGAAAATCTAAAATGGGTGTCTCTTTTTCTTCTCAGCACCACAAAACTCTCACTTTAAGCATGCCAGAAATTTAAAATGGAATTCCAAAATTTTTTTTTGTCAGTATACAGTGCAATCACTAACGTCGGGACTCGAAAAGATGTAATTTGAAAAAATTTGGTACGACTGGGGCGGTCGAATGTAAGGGTGGTCGTAAGTCGAGGAGTAGCTGTATTTGCCAACTAGACATAATCCTGACAGCTCTGTCCTCTTGTTCAACCTTACATCCGTACAACCCATACTGTACTGCTCCCCCATTATACTTATGTTCTTCAATTTCACTGTAATTTATGTATATAGGGTAATATATATATATATATATATATATATATATATATATATATATATATATATATATATATATATATATATATATATATATATATAAATATTGAAGTGCTAACCATGGTAACATTATGAGATGTTCTTGTTACCACCATGTTATTGTACTATTGCGGATGATACTAAATGTTACATAATATTTCCTTGAGATAAATTTATAGTATACATCAGGTGCAGCTCAGGTTCTCAACTGGCTCAGTCATTTTAATATTGTTATTATTATCCACTCTGTATCTGTTTTTCTGGCTAATAAACTGTTTCAATTCAATTCAATGACCACCTCTAGTGTGTGTCCATTAGGTTAATTTTGAGTCAAATTTAAGCAATAACTAATCTTGACATTTGTTTTTTATACCTGATGTTACACAACTGCTTGTATACTTAAGACTAACACTTTAAAACTAAAACACATTCAAATATTTATACAAAACACACACACACTTTTAAACAAACACAAGTGCATATGAACACACACACTCTTTTATAAACATTTACATAAATGCACACTTTCAGAGGAATACACTATTGTGTATTTTTAATCTAGATTCTTAATCAGCATATAAAAGGGCATCTTTGTATGAAATTTAAACAAAATCTATGCCATGCCCTCATGTACTCAAACACAAGATAAGGGGTCAGGAATTTTGATTGGGAATACTGTTACTGGATGTTTTCTTTTCTGGAAAGTGAACGATAAAATGCTTAAATTATAAAGTTAGCCGATATTCTTGAGAAAAGGCATACAGTATAAAGAGGATTTATAATTTACTGGCACAGTGTAATTCATGTTTTAAATACTACAGTACTGTACAGTACATAAACACAAGCATTAGATAACATGATATTAAGTAACAGAATATCTGTATAAGTCTCACCTCCCACAGGTCAGAGGTGTTTCATCAGTTGCTGTTGATGGCATCACATACAAGTGTGTCCCACAGGTCAGAGGTGTTTCATCAGTTTGTTTAGTTGAGTCTTAGCTTGTCATACCGAGATGTGTTGTTGGTCCTTGAAACTTCCTGGAAATAAGAAAAATAACTATGTACAGTATAATACACAACACTGCACTGTAAAACTATTATATTATAGGCAGGGGTTATTTGACCAGTATCTGGCTTAATAACCACAGGTTATTTGACTGGGATTTAAAATAAAACAGTATTTTTGGCCACAGAAAATTCTACAAATTATTTTATTTATAATTTCCAAGTACAGGTTGTACCCCTCTAGTCCGGCAACCTCGGGACCTGACCGGTGCCGGACCATGGAAATTCACCCTTTTCCTGGATAGATAGTGACTTGTGCTTATGCCTGGAAGCACTAGCACCACTTTCTCTGCGTCATGGTCTCTTTGAAGACATATTGAAGGGTTAAATGTCGTATAGTACCTTCTCAAATTTCGCGAGTTTTTAATTCTTAATGTATTTTATTGGAACACACAAAAAAATAAATAAATAAAAATTTTGACGGCGGAAACTTGAATTTCGACAGGTTTGAATGGCCCGCCAACGTGCAGACGACGTGCATAATCGTGTAAACAGCGTCATTTCTCTTATGTACAAAAGATTCATTATTGTTTATTACTGAATGTCTTTTTTATTTTATTAATGTTTGTGTGCAAAATGAGCAATACAATTCATTAATAATACGTAGAATATTAAAACACACGAGGAAATGACACAGCATTGTTTTCGTTGATTACAAAACCAGTGACTGACTGGTTCTACATATAAAACTGAAGAAAATAAGACCTTGGCTGTAGCTGTAGTAAAATTAATATGGTTGTTTTAAGTAATGTTATTTAATGTTAATAAATGGAACAATAGAAGTAGCTAACGATAATGGTAAAGAAAAAAGAGAGATCGCATATGTAAGTGCGCATGCGCACACGTGAAAACATATCGTCATTACTTTACATAAGAATATGAAAGCAACACTTATTTACTGTTCATATATATTTTAATTAATGTTTCTGAATTTGTTTTTATTGAATTAATGTACGTGTGTGCAAAATTATCAATACAATTTATTAATAATACGTGGAATATTAGAGGAGTCGAGACGGCTGCCGGCATTGTTTATGTTAAAGCTTACGAAGCCAGTGACTGATTGGTTCTACATATAAAACTGAAGAAAATAAGACCCTGAGTTTAGCTGTAGTAAAATTAATGTAAAAAATGAATATGGTTGCTTGAAGTACCTGTAATGTTATTTAATGTTAATAAATGGAACAATATAAGTAGCTAACCATTAATGGTAAAAAAAAAAGTGAGACTGCTCGTATTTAAGTGCGCACATGTGAAAATATATCGTCATTACTCTACATAAGAATATGAAAGCAACACTTATTTACTGCTCATATATATTGAAGGGTTAAATGTTGTACTCTGTATAGACAAGCAGAGAGAGAGTGCAGCCGAACTGCCGGATGTAAACAAACCTTAATTTCCCGCGGCTTTTTTTTTTTTTAAGGGGATTAGCCCACCCGGGCATAGGTCACTGACCCACATTGGGGCCTGAGGGGCAAAAATTTAATACTCCTGTAATAATAATAATAATTCAGAGAAATAAAAAAAAGAAAAAAAAAGAAAAAAGCTGCCTATCTACCTATTGGACAAACTAAAATCGTTCCGGACCACGGGAGTTTCCGGACCACAGAATGCCGGACTAGAGAGGTACAACCTGTATATATATATATATATATATATATATATATATATATATATATATATATGTGTATATATATGTATATATGTATATATATGTATATATAGGGGAAAGGTCACGGCAGGGTTAGCTCCAGAGGGATAATTATCAGATATGGCCAGTGATATGTGCGGTCTTGGGTATGAGAGTTTGTTGACCAAACTGGAGTGGTCCACTGAAGAATTGGCGAGGGCCAAGTTAGAAATTGAGAGGGCCACGTTGGAGAACCTGAAATTAAGGAAAGAGCTGGCGAAGTTAAAAGGAAAGGCTGGACGAGTAAAGCCAGTGTCTGACGAAAAATCAAACGAGTGGAAAGTCGTGAGTAGTGGGAGGACCAAGCTGGTGGTGAAGAAGCACACGAAGGATACGACAACAACAGCTAAGTGTACCAACCCGTTCAGTCCCTTGATAGACGAATTGGACGTTAGTACAGTCAGGGGCAGGGATGACAAGGAAGGTATAAAACTTTAATTGTTGGTGACTCACAG